TCATAGCTTTTTTCATTATTCGTCTTTCGTATAAGGTTTGTATAATGTATGCCCTGCTACCCCACCGTCCACACAAAAAATTCGTTTAAGAAGTACAAAAGTGAAAAAGTCAAAGAATGATCATTATTGATGAGTCCTACCAAACGAGAAACGGAGCAAAAAACGACAAACTAGCCACTAAAAATGGCATACTATGACAACATCTCTTCTTTATTTATTTCCTCCACAAGACTTACCAAATTCTAGTACTACACAGATTGTGGTTCTCAATTTACACGTCCCCCTTCAGTTGAAAGAAGCTTTAACCGCCTTCGCCAGCTGTGTGTTGACTGGACTTTGGCGTTGACCGTGGAGCAGCTTATTTACTATTGAAATTTGAACAAATATTCAAATGATTATAACTTTCTTCAAATATGACGAATTTTCAATCTGAAAGCAGATTTGGGAGTTTTGTGAAGAGCTTTTTCTAATCAGTATTGAAATTACAAAAAGTTATAAGAAATAACAAATTTAGATCAATTAACGAGGAAAATTCGAGATGAGCACGAGTTTTTACACTTTCCGAAGCAATAACTTGCTTCATTTTCGTCAAATTCGAAAAGTTAATATGTCATACAAAACTAGAAGATTTTCTCTATCAAACGGTTGCTAAAGCAGCTTCATACGTCCAGTATTCAAAAAATGGCCACGTTGAGGATTTTTGCAAAATTAACGAGGAAAATTCGTGATGAGTGCGAGTTTTTACGCTTTCCAAAGCCATAACTCCGTTCAAACTCATCCAATCCGAAAAGTTAATACGTCATCATAAACTAGAAGATTTGCTCTATCAAACGGTTGCTAAACAGCTTCATACGTCCAGTATTAAAAAATGGCCACGTTGAGGATTTTTGCAAAATTAACGAGGAAAATTCGTGATGAGTGCGAGTTTTTACGCTTTCCAAAGCCATAACTCCGTTCAAACTCATCCAATCCGAAAAGGGAAATCGCCATCAGAAACTAGAAGATTTGCTCTATCAAATGCTAGCT